TATCATTCATTCGTTTCCATTCTATCTTTGAAGATACGCTCAACCTTTTCAAATCCAACCAACCAACCAACCAACCAACACACCAACCGCAAACATGTTCACCAAGACTGCTATCATCCTGGCTGCTGCCAACCTCGCCGCCGCGCACACCACCTTCCAGAGCTTCGTCATTGACGGCAAGGACCAGGGCCAGCACTTCGCTGTCCAGACTCCTTCCAACGGCAACAACCCCATCCTCGATGTCACCTCCACTGCCATGATCTGCAACGGTGGCAAGGCCACCTCCGACCAGGTCGAGGTTGCCGCTGGCTCCAAGCTCGGCATGCAATGGCACCACAACGACCCCGCCTCCGCCGGTGACGGTGACGACCCGATCGCCCCCTCCCACAAGGGACCCGTCATGGTCTACATCGCCAAGGCCGACACCAACGGCGAGGGCGCCGTCTGGACCAAGATCTACGAGGACGGTCTCACCGGCTCCAAGTGGGGTGTTGACAACCTCATCTCCTCCAAGGGACTCTTGGAGATTGACCTCCCCAACCTCGAGGCTGGCGACTACCTCATCCGCCCCGAGATGATTGGTCTCCACGAGGCCAGCGCCGAGGGCAAGGCCCAGTTCTACAACGGCTGCGGTCAAATCAAGGTCACTGGCAGCGGCTCTGCTGCTCTCCCCGCCACTGGTGTCGACATGACCAAGGCTTACAAGGCCACCGACCCCGGTGTCATGTTCAACATCTACGGCGGTGCCACCGACTACACCGTCCCCGGTCCCAAGGTCTGGGACGCCGCCACCGCCGGCAGCGCTCCTTCCACCCCTTCCAAGCCCGTTGAGTCGGCTGCGCCCTCCACCCCTGCCTCCAGCGCCGCTCCTTCCGCTACTCCCTCTCCCGTCGAGTCGGCCGCTCCCTCTGCTCCTTCTGCCACCAAGCCCGCTGCCACCCCCGCTCCTTCCACCGGCAGCGGCTCTGCTCTCCCCGAGACCTTCACCATCGAGCAGTTCATCCAGTGGCTCAAGACCGCCACCGGCAGCTCTGCCTCCAAGGCTCGCCGCCACGCCCGCGCTTTCAACTTGTAAGCGCTTTCTACAAATGGTCGCAAGTTCGATCTTTCTTGCATGAACTGGTGTTCATGGTTGGTCCTTTTTGAGACGTATCTTCTTTGATGGGAAACCCCCATACTCTTTCTTCCATAGTCCGCGAGATCGGCTAGCTCTTCTTTGATGTAAATATAGCATTCACGACGAATGGAATTCGAAAAGTCTTTGTACAATTGTTGCTTGATTGATGTGCTCGTTGTGACTGAGTGATACCATCAGATATTGATTAAATATTGCTGTTAGTGCATGGCACAATCCATGCCTTGGACGCCTACAAGAAAGCATTATCGTTCATGTTGTACTACACATGGTACGTGGAAGAATACATCGTCTTGTATACATTCTGTCTCTTCCATCATAAAAGGTATGTATGCATCAACACGACAGATGCCCTGTCAGCCAGTACTTTATCCCAGAACGTCGTCCACATGGCGGATTTGCTTTCTATCATAGGCTCATCATCCAATCGTCGAGATACTTATCATCCTCCATCTTCCGCAGCAACTCCTCGTATCTCTTGCCTTCCCTAACACCCTCATCCAAATTCCACGGCAGCTTATCGCACTGCTCGACGTCCTCATAAAACGTCGCACCAAAATCTTCCAAAATCTTACATCGCTCCTCCATTGTTCTGCAATACGCCAAGTCCACCCAGTCTTCTGGCTTTCGGGGCGGATCGTATTCTTCCAACCATGTTTGCGAGTTCTCGGCCCATACCGCTAGCACCCAAAGACCGGAGCCGGTAGGCGTGTAGGCAACATGCAGGTCGGATGGGAAGTGGTGGCCGTAAGGATATGGTTCGTCTCTTGTGTGGCGGTCGTAGAACTTGAGGGAGGGCCACCAACGCGCGCCTAGGTGGAGCATACGCAGCGCGAACGCGTCTTCTTGCTCTTGGTTGGGGAAGGGTCCTGGATCTGACATTTTGCGCGAGAGGCCAAGGTGCTCCAGCTCGGGGTTTGTTAAGTTCTTCATGATGATACCGCCGTGCGATGGGTATGAATAAACCGTACATACACTCCTCAATTCAAAAGTTATTCTGACGCGTGCTCCTTGCGAGGCTGGCATGCTTGAACGGTGGAGGGTTCTGTCTAGAGAGTCTGGATGTGTTGATGCCTAGGTAGGTATTCAGCAAAGTGCAGCTGATGATCAGGCAGCGTTCCTGAGCGTGCTGACGCCGAAGTTGCTACGCCGCACGCTCGCAGCCATGGCATTCTTGATGCGAAACAGCCCAGTCACATTTTCTGTCGACGCTGACAAGGACCTCAACATCAGGAAGTACGTATTCACATCCCAAGTCGAAGCATACATTACTTTCTATACGTGTCCATTGTTGGCGTACAACAACAATGTAGGCAGTAATGCGACTCAGACTCTTGTCATCCTCCACTGCATTCTAGGATGTCGTCCTCATAGTAATCTCAAGAATCCTGCTGTTGATGGCGTTGCAACGATGTCGCAGTCCGGCTGTTTGTGTGGCTGGCTCGTAATGCCGAGGCTCAGCCGAACCCAATCGCGCAATGTCCACGGGTCATTCCGCTCGGGCCTTCCTCCTGTCTATTTCGAACCATCTTTCAACACCAACCATCACACCTTCTCAACTCAAGCATTGCGCCGCGAACAAGCTTTCGCAAGCTAACTTGGCAGATGGAAAGCTTACTACCCTTCAGGTGTGCGCGCCGGGCAACACCTATCACGAACTTCCTATCCCGTACTAGCACCACCACACCAATCCTTGCCAAGTCACACGCCAACTGATAAGCAACGACAAGCTTCTGCTGCAGTTAATTTATCCGGCATATCTACGCTAGAAGTCCTATCCGTCCATGTGTAGGGCTGTTTCACACTCGTAATCGCGAATTTCGATGTGGTTGAGAGCCGAGGCACAGTGTGGGATGTGTTACTGCCGTGGAGCAAAAAGAAAGCATCAAACAGTCGAACACATCATCTTCACTACGTAAAGAGAGGCCTACAGATTCAACAAAAGCTCGCGATACGACCAAACAGAATGGCCACCGCTACGCATTTTCCGTCCGCTGTTGAGTTTACCAGAGAGCGATCGGGCGGTTTCCCAGAGAGGCAGGAGGACCTGTCAATGCAAGCACGACAACCACGAGGTCGGACACTCATACGAAAATATGGTGGGCAAGTCAGTGATCTGATAGGCGGACTTTGTCCCATACACCAGGAGAATGAGTTATCAGGGTCTTCTGATACTTACCGAGTCAACTCACATGCCAAATGCCCACTCATACCCTGGTCGAGCCCGGCAATCCACCGATCGCCTGGTATAGAGGCCTTCGCCAAATGTACCGAACTACCAATCAGTATGTCGTATCTCGGCAATGGACCTGATCGACCTTGAACGCCGCTCTCCAGCCCACCATGGAGGGCGAATCTAGCTGGATAGCTATGCGCCTGACCAGTGGGTATTAGGAAGGTATCATCGAGCGTTGGATCTGGACTATCGCGCCATCGTATAACGAATTCGCGTGTAGATATACGACTTAAAGTACGAGCTCGAGCTGGGAAGTATATAAGGAGTATTAAACACCGCTGGTAACACTTCACTCATCAACGCAGCATTCGCTTCAGCAGTCTATCGTTCTACTCTCGGTCCCTTCTTTCGCTTCGAATACCTTCTTAGTCCCGCAAGATCATTCTACCCTTCATCATGAAGCTTTCCATCGCTATTATCGCCGCCATCTCTGGCTCCGTTCTGGCCCGTCCCTCCTCCCTCGCTGAGCGCGTTCAATCCCGTGCCGATGGCAGTCGCCGTCACAGGACCCAGCCTATGATTCTGGTCGGCACAGCCGCAAAAGAGAACGCGAAGTTCGTCGCAGACGTCGACAACACCACCGCCCACGTCGACTACTCATCCAACTGGTCCGGTGCCGTCCTCGAGACACCCTCCTCCGGCTACTTCAAGTCAGCCACTGGACGTTTCACCGTCCCCACACCCAAGCACGTTGGCTCTGGCGGCACCGAGTCGTCCTCAGCCTGGGTCGGTATCGACGGCGACACCTGCGGTAGCGGTCTGCTTCAAGCAGGTATCGACTTCACCGTCAGCAGCTCCGGCGCTGTCTCCTACGACGCCTGGTACGAGTGGTACCCCGACTACGCCTACGACTTCAGCAACTTCGCCGTCAAGGCCGGTAACGTCATCCAAGTCGACATTGTCGCTACCTCCACCACCAAGGGCACAGTCTCACTCACCAACGTGAGCACGGGAAAGAAGGTCAGCCAGACGCTTAGCGCACCCAGCGGCTCCGTCCTGTGCCGTCAGAATGCAGAGTGGATTGTGGAAGACTTTGAGTCTGGAGGTAGCTTGGTTGCGCTGAGCAACTTTGGTACTGTTGTCTTCACCCAGGCGAGTGCTAGCCTGAGCACTGGTGGAACGGATGGGTTGAGCGGTGCTACTATCATTGATCTTAAGCAGGGTAGCACTGTTTACACTGATGTTACCATCAACAGCGGCTCGCAGGTCACTGTTCAGTACATCTAGGTTAGAGATGGTAGGAGAGGAAGTCGTGGTCTGAAGGCTGCGATGAGGTCTACATGAGGCATGGAAAAGACTACATGGGGTAGAAGTCAGGCGGTCGGTCGCGGATAAGCGTAGTCTGAGGACTACATAGCAATGGAATTTTTACATGTAAAAAGACCCAGCGTTAACGTAGACGTCAAGGCCCTTTTCAAACCTGCAAATCACACTTCTCTTGCTGTTGTAGTTTGTAACTCGATTGCCGGCTCGTTCGTTTATTGTGTGAATGCATTCACATTGTTTTCTATCTACTCCCAATCAAAGCCGACATGTAGACATTCTGAATGCATCCCATAAGTCCTCCCTCAATGAAAGTCCTTTCCGTTCCGTCTCGAGTCGCTCCTAGAGTGTGCCTCAAATGACATCTCACTTCTTTGTGCCGCCGCTCTGCTGACCGCCAGCATTCGCGTTGCGGTCTCCGGCACCCTGGGCGCGAGCAGCGAAGCCGCCGGAAGACATGTCGCTGCCGCTCTTGGCCTAGACGAAGAAGGATATGTCAGCATCGGAAAAAGTGTAGAGGTCAGCTAGACGTGATGGGAAGACTGACGTTGGCGGATTGAATCCTACTGGCATCAGACTGACTCATTGGGGTAGAGCCCTTGGAGCCACCGCCAGTGTTGCCGGAGTTGTTGTTGTTACCTGACATGGTGGGAAGTGAGGTGACGGAAGCTTGGATTAGTTGGTTTTGTGAAGATTGATGATGTACGTGTTGTATCGTTTAATGATTGCGATGAATACATTATCTGAGTGCGAGAACGTGCTTTTATATCGTTGTCTTGGGGGGCTTTCTTGATCACGGATGCTGTTGCCGCGGAGCAGGTCGTGGGTACATCAGCTAGCGCATGTAGTACAGCAGCAACATCATGCCTCTGTATATTGAAACGAAAATGTAGACGCCAGGGTTGTCTACACCGCTCTTTGCTATGTCGCCAACGTTGGTCGATCGCAAGAACATGTGAAATGCTGTTTGTGAGAATGCAAACCCGATATCTCTAGGGCTCTTACCCTTTCTTCGTGATCGCCGAGCGTACCTACCTAGACAGCTTTGCAATATGGCTTGGGAAGCTTCCAAACTCTCATGGTTTTTCTCTACTCATTACTTCAGCCTTCCTACGAGGTATTGTGGCCGACGTCATAGCGACGCCTACTGCTTGTGAACATCTCCGATCGACACGCATGGCGTAGCACAACAACCTCGATGACGACAGCCAACGAGAATTGGGCGCGCAAAACTGCATCTCGCCTTCCAAGTCTGGACTCCTCGCCGTTCTCATCGTACGATCCTTGCACAAAGCGACGCGTGAAGCATGCTGCCGACGGTACTGCGCCCTGATGGATAGGTATCACAGTGATGGGCATGACGATGCAGATCCGCGCAATGGCAACACGGAATACGATGAATACGCCCATTCTCGATGTGCAATTGCTTCCATGATCTACCTTCGCGCCCCACTCTGGAAGTAGTACCCGATACCAGGCTACAATGTGCGGGAAATGTAGGAGTTGTGTGGACGTGTCCAGTCTTCTATGACATCTGTTCTGACAAATAAAGACCATGAGGGAGAGATAAGGAGGACCTCACTCCAGAATTTGTGCTAGCTCTTATTAAGCGAGATGTACATTAGACATCTTTTCAAAGATCTCTAGCTTCCTCAAAGTCATGACTACCTGGGTACCTATGATGTGTTCGAGAAAAGTAATCATGATAAGCAGAGTCGCACGGGCAAGATTGTAATCAAATGTGATATCCCGGATAAATCCTAGTCGAATTCCAAATCCATCCCCATCCCACAGAAGCACAGAACTAACCATACCCATCCCTCACTACCACCCTGCAACCCGACTCACCAAACCAAACCCATCAAGCCCTCATTCAACCTTCCCAACCTCCCCCTAACCTTCTCCACCCTCTCTCCTACCACACTCACCTCTCCCTTCTCCTTCCCTTCCACTTCTTCCCCTCCAACCATCTCACTCTCAACCACACCCTTCCTCTCCGCCTTCTTAACGTCCTTCTCAAACCTCCTCTTCCACATCCCCCGATAATTCACAACGCACTGCCTAACCCAAACACTCCACCACACCTTCTCCGCCCACCGCACGAGCACCCCATCCGTAGCTCCAGCATACTGCGCATCTGTCCACGCCATCGTGAAGTCCTTCTCGCGCGGCACGGTGGCGAGATAAGGAGTTCCAGTGGAGGGGCAGAAGAGTGTCCAGCGGAAGAGACAGAGCAGTTTTGCGGCGGCGGACATGTTGGGTGAAGGTGGGGAGGGGGAGAATGGGAGGGGTGGTGTGTGCGGGAGGACGTCGACGTATAGGGCTGGGTTTGGGGATTCGGTGGTGGATGGAGAGAAGGGGGGAAAAACGAGGGCGCTCCGTGAGATCGGTGAGGCATTGGTCGGTAAGCCGGGTGTGAGCGGTGGTGTCAACGGCGGTGTTATCTCGCCTGTAGCTGTGGGTTCGAGATCGGGTGTCATGGGCTGTGCATGCTTGATGATGATGGTTGGAACGGGTACGTCGCTGCTCCAGCCATTCTTCCCAGTTGGAATGGCTTGGGTGACGAGCTCGCGCAGTCTCTGCTCCTCGCGCTCTTTGACCCATGCGGCGCGTTTTGTGTAGTATTCGGTTGCGATGTGGGGGAACATGGTGAAGACTTTGTTGCGGACAGCTATTCTGGTACGGGTTTGCCATGCTGGGAAGTCTTCTTCAACGTGCTCGATGGCTTTGCTGTCGTCCTCTTCTGGGCCTGTGTTGTGCTGGATGTGGCGGTAGCCAGGGTAATGCTGTGGAACCCATTCTTTGATGAAGTGTGTCCAGTATGGTGCGCGGTCCTCGAGGCGATCGTTGTACTTTTCCTCAGCCAGTCGTGCGGCGAAGTGGCCTGGGTGGAAGAGCCAGGAGCTAGCCAAGTACTTGTAGACTGTAGATACCATCAGTGGAACTCACGAATAGCGCAGATCAATAACTTACTCTCCTCCTTAGTCTTGAATCCTCCATTCAAGATCCTCCAATCCAATCCCACAATCCTCAGCGCATCCTTCGGATCCTTGCTAACCCACACCATGCTACCAGGAAAATTCGTCTCTTCCATCTCTTCAACACGGACATGTATACCCTCAGGATCCATGGTAAGACCCAGCGGCTTAACCATACTGCCGATCATCTTGCTGTTGCTTGCGTAGTTGAGCTCGAAGTGACACCAGTGAAACAGCTCCGGCTTGAAGCAGACCTTGACATCGATCTGAATGAAGTAGTTTTCTTCACCATGGGGCGAGTCGATGGCGAAGTACATGCAGTCGGGGGTAAGATAGCCCTGGCGCCCATGGGTGGTGTCGAGGACGTCTTTGATGAGAGAAACAGTGCTTTGCCAGGGGAATGTGTCGATGGTGGTGTCACCCTTGGAATTTAGAGGTGAACAGACTAGGAAGTCGACGTCGCCGTAGTCATCCTGTTCGTGTTAGTAAGGAAACGGCATACCGGATATCCAAGCATACCTTGCCGGGCATCTCAGTCGGTACCACGACTTGCGCGAAGACAGTCTGCAGCGCAGCTTTCGTCTCTGCCTTGACCTTTTCGTAGACAGCTGGGGAGATCCGAGGACAATACAGTCCTTTGAAGGCGTGGCCGCCCATCTTGTGTAGTGATTGATGAGGGAGTTGTGAGATGGGTTATCCGAATGTTTCCCAGACCGTGTGAAGTGAGAAGTTGGAGTGACGAACGAGAGGTGGTCGAGTAGACCAGAGTAGTGGCCACAGGGTAGTTATAAACAACTAGGGTGCTGCAAGACGAAGTAAAGGTAAGAGCAGCTGAGCGGTTTCAAGTGCGGTAAGAGAGTATCAGACGACATGGCAAGTGCCCAGCGGAACAAACATGGCAAGTGTGTACGCGACCTTGATCCTATCGAGAGTCACCTTTACCTTGGGGCATGGAATCGTGCCAGTGCCATATCAAGCAACCTACCGCCAAAAGCTCATTGTTCCATCTCCATTCTATCGCAATAGAAAAAGACTGCACAAGACTGGACGGGCGGCGGCAGCGGCGCGAAATGAGCTCGGTAGAAGTCAAGTTCCGTGAGATGTACTGCTTCATACTGTGACTTGCAAGCCAGAGGCAGTACCTGATAGAAGCGCTCAACAAGATCTGGCAAGATTGCTGTACTGCATTTACATCGTCCTTAGGCTTGTTAACAGATGAGAGTGTGCCTTGCTCGCAGCCTTGCAGCCTACCTCCCTATACTCTTCTGCGTCGCAAAACTGTGGCGTTCGAAAAATGGTTGGGCGAGGCAGCTCTGTGTCACTCTCACCATCACCGCTCCTGCGGCGCAGCAGTGCCACAAGCGCTAAGCCTGAACACATATCAATATCGCACCCACCACCACCACATCTTCAATCAATTACCACCGAAGCAGCTGTCAACATGGCGATGGCGCGACTCCAAGCAATCCTCGCCTGCTTCCCCTGCGGCGCCGAGGAGCCAAAGCACCACACCTACCCCGACGAGAAAGTCGCCTTGCTCTCCGCCGCTACCTCTGACGCCCACCCTGCGGACGAGGTCGCAGATGAGATCGCAGACGACGTCGTCGAAAAACTCCTCACCACCCGCCTGACCGGCGCCCAGCTGCGCATGCACCTGGACGCCCTCGTCGGCACCTCCGGCTGGCGCACCACCCTCGCCCAACACGTCCTCTCGCGACTCACCACCGCTCTCCGCGCGTCGCACGAGCACCTCGGTCCCACCATCTCCGCCGCCTGCGACAAAGCCTGGGAAGCCGCCCAAAGCATCGAGGGCTTCGTCATCGAACACCCCGTCATGTGCACCGTCATTGCCCTGGGCGTCCTCGCTATCGTCGCGCCTTGGGTGTTGGAAGCGCTTGGTTTTGCGGAATTGGGGCCGGTTGAAGGTACGTGTAGTGTGAAAGTGTGAAAGTATGAAAGTATGGGTGTTACTTCCCCTTCGTTTCCGGCGCATTGGGAATCCGGGGGATGGAGATGCGACAGTACGTTCCGTGGAACTCGACAAAAAGCAAAAAGAAAGATTCGTGACTCAGAAAAGCGGTTGGAAGGAAAGGACACGGAAATGTCAAGCGAATTGAACGGGGATAAACGAATTTGACTTGAAATAAAGCGCTAACACGCGGAATCAATGCAGGTACCTTCGCCTCATGGTGGCAGTCCACCTACGCCGGCCTCGTACCAAAGAACTCGCTGTTTTCCTTCTTCCAGCGGTTAGGCATGACCAAGTGGCATTGGGTCCTCGTCTAATCCAATTCATGGTCGAGAGGAGGGGGTTCGTCGGTTTCGGTTCGCTCCTTCCTTTCTCGTCTCGTCTCGTGTCCTCCTATCGATGCGAACAGGCCACTTTCACCTGGGCATGATAAACGAGATCAAGGAAGCGGGCCTGCGGGGAAAGCTCCAGAATAAGCGGCAGATGACGCAGTTGGTATAGGTCGAAGGATTTGAGGAGATTGGGATGTCGCTCGCGTATCTTGCATGATGATGCGCGCGTGATGGATTGACATGGTTGGCATTGTGCTGTCTGCTGTCGTACGTAGTAGGATAGTAGGGCGCCTAACTCAATCCTTCCAACTTCCCCTCCTATCTTCCAATGTCCACGTCCTTGATTAGTAGTTCGCCACCTAAGGCAGTGACATATTCCTGAGGCTCTGCTGTCATCGCAATTTCCCCACACACCGTTCTACGTCATCCCACATGTAGTTGGGGGACCCGTTGATGATGGAGGAACGGGCAATGTTTCGAACTCAATCAGCAATGGCAATGCGAAGCGAAGCGCAAAGTAAAGAAAACGGTTCCCGCAACCCGCTTCCCGCGCTGTCACTGTTACAGTCGTTTGCGAAAGTCTACCAAACTGACAACTTTAATTAAGATTAATCGTGGGAAACACAGACACTGCAGACAAAGCGCACCGTGTGTGGGACGCTCAGGTTAAGATTTCCGCGCGCACTCGGGGTCGACCACTGAACAGAAGCTTGGAAGGACGCGTACGTACGCGCCTACGCTAGGGATGAACGAACGCGTCCTGCGTCCTGCCGTCTTCGAATCTTCTAATGCGCGTCGCGTCGCGTCGACGCTAAGACCCATCTGGACCATCCAAGGATCTGTCACAACACGTTACGCGACACGGTAAATGTTTGGTACGGTAACACCTCCACCCACACCCCCCAACCCAACCCCACGTGCCGCCCGCAGATCGACACGGGAAGAGGCGTAAACGATCGACAACACTGGTTACAGATCCCAACGGCCGCGTTGCTTCTGTCGTTCTCGCCTCGTTTCTACTTTCTGTTTCGAACAGCTTGCTTTCTCTGCGCTTGTTTGTTGTTCGTCGCTGCAAACAGTCGGGATCGCACTATGCGGCTGTACGCTTTTGGTGTGAAACACGAGGGTGCTCGCCCTGGGACTAGCGCGGGGAGCACTGGGTGTATTTTGCAGGCACAGAGCATCAGAGTGCTTTGGGCGGGTTGGTGCGACGCTGTGGTCGCTTGCAGCAATCCAGTCGATCATGGGAATAGAGATGATGGAGAGGGGAATAAGAATGGTGGTAGTGGTGATGGTGTTGGGGAACCACACGTCCGGTACATGGGCACAGGCCTCACGGCTGCTCAGAAAGAATACTTGACCAGCGACAGCGATCTGAAACGAGCGATTCCCCTCGGTCCAAATCGCGATAATGGAAGCGAGATCATCTTCTTTGGTAGCACGATGCACGATGGATTGAGGGGGTATGTGTTGACTGACAAGAGTGGGGAGGACATCGACCGGAAAGCATCGGATCAGAAGGTCGTCATGTTTGGTACCGATGTTGAGATCGAGGACAATGGCGTACCAGACATACAAACTTTCACCGTAAGCGATCAAGTTGAGATCGTGAGGGACGTGAAGATCGGGAGTGAGGGGCATGTACTGGTTTACGTTGAGCATCGTTCCGCGGCTGTGGAGTCGGTGGTGCGGGTCAAAGACTTTGCGGCTTTCCGGCGTTATCTTGAGGCCGGTGAGATGGGTGAGGGGACCGGAGGAACGGTCCTTCCCTACGAACTTGGCGAATTCCCGCTGTGCGTTGGGAATGCTACGACGATGACTGCGCTAGACGTCGACGGGCACGTTTGGACGGAGACAAGGGATCCGAGGTATGAGAAGTGCTTGGGCCGACCGTATGAGGGTGCTTTAGACATTGCGCCCGTGCCTTACCTTGAGATGACCTACGTCACGAAGGTGGCATCGGGCGGGTACATGAGCGCGGCCTTCGACTCGGACGGCGAACTCTTCTTATGGGGTCAGGCATGTCCTGGGTCAAATGGAGAATTGGACGTGCTGAATGGCAATCCTGAAACGAGCGCACTGGTAACAGGCATCAGTGCTGATGACGTTGAAGATGGGTTTGTCAAGTGCTTGGACGTCCGGATAGATGGTCAGGACGCAAAGGTGTATGAGGTAGCGGTTGGTCATGGCCACATCCTAGTGGCAGCCCAAACGTGTAAGACAGAAGGAAGGGTCAAAAGAGTTTTGTTCGTGGCGGGAGACAACAGCAGGGGCCAGTTGGGTCTAGCAACGGATGAGGACTTCAAGAAGAGATTTGAAGGCGTCACAGCTTTGAGGGACGAGCGAATTATTCAGCTGGCGGCGGCTGGATGGTCCACGTACGTCCTAACACTTGAAGAATAACTATCTCATATTGTCGGGCTTCAGACACCCAGAGAAGTACCAAACTAGGTATGCGGGGAGGAAGCAAAGTGCATGCAACAGTGAGCATCTGTAGGAACACACAACATCAGCCTCAGCTCAGTAAGGAAGGCCACAGCCACGCGGCGACACACCACAATCGTACGACACTATCCTCGCACGCTTCGCAGGTCCTGGCTCAACGTGGAATATCGGGCCCAAGGGGTCGAGCTGCCCATCCACGATGTCTATCGGCGGTGGTGGAGGTGGTAACAGATTTGGCGAACCGGGCTGAACAGCGATCTGCGTAGTGACAACAATGGATCCAGCTCTGCTTTGGATGATCGGAGGAACGAGTACAGACTGAGCTGAGACCTGAGAGACTTTGGATTGAGTCTTTGATCTGCGGGTGCTGAGGTGGATGAGCCGGCGTGGCAGAACGCAATCGAACAGCGGACGTAGATGAAGCAGACATGCTACAATAATCGCCGTACTCATCCGTGCGATTGCCCACATCAAAGTGTTGCCCATGCCGTATGTTACGTCGCCTTGATAGGCGACACCGGCTAGTGCGTCGAGGCGAAAGGCACCAATGAACATGTTGCTACCCTTATCAGCCATGGCCGAGAGTGGATGGTTCTTGATCGTACAACAATCCGAAAGCGAATATGACCGACACAGCCACCTTGTGGGAGAGGCGCAGCTTTAGATGCCAGACCACATAGTGTGGGAGACACCAGATGACAGCATCCAGGACTACTCCTAGCACTGCTATGCAGATCACACTTGGCCTCAACCGGAAGCAGTGTCGTGGATTCTCGAAGGGTATTGTGTAGTTGTACTTGATCGGCCGACAGTGGAGCGCGATTACCATGACAGACGCTAGTCCCAAGGCGATTGCCGTGATGATACAAAAGTGAGCTATGGTTCGGATTAATAAACACGTGGATACCGGA